TTTATATTTATAATAAAAAATATATGGTTTAAATGTGTGTTATTAAAAAATGTCTGAATTACCTTATTTCAATATCTTTACAAATAAATTAGAGCGTCGGTGGCTCAGGGGTCAAGCACTTGACTTGCAATCTGCAGGTCCTGAGTTCGAATCCCGTCATATACCAATGTGTTTTTCCATTTCTGATTTACATATGTACGTTTATCTTATGTTACGGTGAAGGAAAACATCGTGATGCTGCACATATCTGAGAAAGTCAAAGATATGTGTGAAGTCAACCCGCACTTGGCCAGCGTGGTTGACTATGGCCTAATCACCGCTACGGTAAGGTAGGCTCCGAACCTCTCGGTGGGAATGTATAGTGAGCTGATGAGGACTAATAAAAGAAAGCGCCGTTGGCTCAGTGGTTAAAGTTGACTTGTCTGCAGTTCCTATGTCCGAATCCCGTCATGTAGCAATGTGTTTTTACATATATACATTTATTGTATGTTGTTACTGTGAAGGAAAACATCGTGATGCTGCACATATCTGAGAAAGTCAAATGTATGAAGTCTTGCACTGGACCAGCATTCACTATCACATACTCTCACTTAGGATACACTCTGACCTCAGTGGGGATGTATAGTGAGCTGATAATGAATAGAAATATTTATTTTAAGACATAGAGATGATGTAATACATCTAACAATGGTAGAGGGTTTCTGTGCTTCGTCGATTAGAGGTAGGTAACGTATCTGCTTGTTAATTATGGGCAGCGGTTGTTTCGCTATTTGGGCGAATTTAGTTGGACGCTTGTTCGTTTGACACCTTATAATATAAACAAAAATACTATGTTGAGACTGTAGGGAATAAGGTTATAGAGCTTTTAAAACATAACACAATTAATTTACTTTACTACTATAGAATAATTAATCTTACTAATATTATAACGGCCGAAATTTTGCTGAAATTTGTCATACATATAGAACATAGTCTGGAAGAACACATAGACTACTTAACTTTTTTATTTCCGCACGTAATAGGTCACGCACGACGAGTATAACATAAACCATATCAATATCGGTTTACGACTGTCTTTAGTATATTTTCCACTAGCTTAGCTTGGCTGCTCGATTGCTATAAAGCTAGTGAAAAATGTGTTTAAGTATTGATTTATGACGTGTTAGTTGGAGTCTGCGTAGTTAAGCGCTTTTATCTTTTACAAAATCTGTCCACAGATGACGTTGTCTCATTTATTTAGACGATATCGTTTTATTACGTGCCTTGCATCATGTCTGTTGGATATCAAATTGTTGTCATTCTAAATCTACTATTGCTTAAAGAGAATATCACGTATTTAGATTGTAAGTTTTAATAATTTTTGCAAAAGTTCCACCTATATGAGGTGGAACTTATATAATATGAAATAGACCAAGGGTTTACCAAACCTCGTTTTCACCATAGAAAACTAGTTATAACCCGCGACTTCGCATAGAAATGTCTGTTTCCGTCGGGGTTACCTTTGAGAGGTGTGTAAGTAATTTCATCAGCTTTAGGTCCGTCCGCGCGGAATTATCAATACTCATAATTAGTAACCTATGTGTTCTTCCAGACTATGTTCTATATGTATGCCAAATATCATCAAGATCCGTTCAGACATTCTGGAGATACATTCTAATAAACATCCATCCGAACATTACTTACCTTCTAGAGGTATGTAAGTAATTTCATCAGCTCTAAGTCCCACCGAGGAGGCTACCTTAAGTGAGACTATGTGATAGTGAATGCTGGTCCAGTGCGGGTTGACTTCACACATATCTTTGACTTTCTCAGATATGTGCAGCATCATAATTCCTTCATAGTAAGAACGTCGAATAAGCAAGCAACCGCTACCCATAGACGTCTACAATTACAGATGTTTAATCTACGGAGGACACGCACAAAAAGAATATGGTTCCACTTACTATGCTTACCCTCTGTCGAATCCACTTCACCTTACTATCCTAATAAGAAAAGGGAAGGGAATGACTAAAGTTGGGCCTCCGCACTCATCAGACTATACGAGGAATTGCGTCCACTGTCTTGTTCAAAAAATTCATTATTAAATTATTCAAACTTTCGTGAGACATAATAATAAACTTATATATAAAACGGCTAAACACTCACGTATATTCGTCCGGTGGTGCCACCGATTAGTTTCGAGCCAATCGGGGGCCCTTCATCAGGGTGAATGGGACTGGTATTATTTCGCGGACGCGGCCCGAAAATAGTCGGTGCAGCCACCGGACGAATATACGTGATTGTTTAGATGTTTTTATATAAATTCATTATTGACAAATCTTTAGAAATATTTTAAAAAAAGCGGGTAGTTAAACAAAAATCAAATATACATTCAAAATTATTTATTTCACAAACAGATTGATATTTTACAAAAAAGACCACAAAATAGCCACAAGAGCGGTACGACAATGCATTTTTGTACAAACGAACAAATGAGAGCGTAAAACTGAACCGATTCAAAAGTTCAGATCACCGTGAACCGTTGAGCTATAACTCAAAAACTAAGGCTCAGTGCAGACTGGCCACTGACTACAGCCACCGGTGGCCAGCGACAAGCAGTAATTACCGAGATTTGTTAGTGTTGCGATTGGCCGCCACGATACATGTGCGCCGCAATCTAACATAATGTATCAAAAATCCTGTAAATTGCCTGTAAAGAGCGTCATTGACTCAGGGGTCATGCCTTGCAATCTGCAGATCCTGGATTCGAATCCCGCTATATGTACATTTATCCGACGTTGATACGGTGAAGGAAAACATCGTGATGCAATCTGCACATATCTGAGAAGAAATTCAAAGATATATGTGAAGTCAACCAACCCGCACTGGGCCAGCGTGGTTGACTATGGCCTAATTACCCTAAACTTTGGGTAGGCTCCGAGCCCCTCGGTGGGGACGTATAGTGAGCTGATGATGCTTGTCGCTCGTCACCGATGACTGTGGTCGGTGATCACAGCTCAATGTACTTTAACTATGAGCCGTGAGCTGCTGATCCGTAGTTCGAAATTCAAATCATAACTCAAGGTACAAATTAAACTGAGCCATGATCTGCAGATCATTAGTTGAGTTAACTATCACTACAGTTATGTAGTACAATGAATCAATTTTAAAATGTTATATAATTAGAAATCACTACGTACTCAATATTGAAAAAATCTATTGATAATTTAAGCGATAAATAAGTAGATATAAGTGTATTATTTAATATATTGCACTATTTTAATACTAATATTAATTTTATGTGAAAAATATTTTTTAATTATAATTTAAAGATAGACGGAAAAGTATGAAAACTTATTATTTTTGTTTGTAATATTTGATCTATATAAAGTCGACAAAATATAATATAAAAGGTATAGTTTGACAAATATTATTATTTTAAATTTTTGTATAAGTTCGAAACTAAATTATCTCAGAATAGTAAGATATAGATTATAAAATTTATATTTAATCTACAATACAATTTCTAAAAATCAGCTTTTATATTAAAAAAGAAAAAAAATTGTTGTAGTAATTTCTTTTTCCTAAGTAATGAAACTGATTTTTTTTTATTATAATTTTTATGATCTGTTTTTCATACAATTCTTGAAATTAAAATTGTAATTCATAAATAATTAATTAACCAAAATATATTAAAAAAAACATACATAAAGTAATTTAGATTAAATATTTTTTAGAAATTTAATCATTAAATATTTTTTAATTTAAGTAATTAATTTCTTTTGCGCCCAAGAACCATAATTTAGTATTATTATACTAATTGTAGTTCTTTGGTTAGTTCATTTATGTGTCAAAGAATTGTATTTTAAATTACAAGCAGAAAAAATTTCACCTAACATGTCTTAATTACGAAACTAGAATAAATAGTAAGTTTAGTCGACCACATTCCAATCCACATGGCATCCAATGTCTATGGATTTATTTTGTATCCATTTTCAGACAAACATAACTTTTTTAAATTGTTTAGATGGGTTTTCTATAATTTCTCATTTCGACTATACTATAGTGTTTTTTTTAAATATAAATACTTGTCTACCATAGTCTAGAAATCGGAATAGATTCCAATTTCATACTAATAATTTAATAGAATTACGTTTTATTTATCGTCAAAACACTTACTTGAAAACATCGTAGTATCGAAGAATTTGATGAAAAAAACGTTGACACATCTTGAATATATCGAAATAATTTTTATTATTAATAATTTCAACTACAATTGCACACTAATTTACTAATTTTTACACAATCACTAAATAAATTAAACTTCGGAAAATATTAGATGTATTGCGCGCGCGTCTTATAAACACTGATTTTAAAAATGGCCGCTTTTGCTGTCATAGTAACTAGTTGTCAAAAACGGTTATCTAAACGGTGTATTAAAAAACGTTTTTTTTATATAAACTTGTAGTCGTTGTTAAAAGCAGTGATTTAAAAAACAGTTTTAGTGTTATTATTCGTAAATAAATTCGTTAATTAAGTAAATAGATTTAACATAGCACATTTTCTAAAATGATTTTTACTATTTTTATATTTTTTAAGTATTTATAAAATTATCTCAATTTGCAAAATAACTTAACTTATATTTGAAATGACAATTATTATAGTCTGACAAAGTTATCTGACCCGGTGTGCATATATCAATATAAATTACTACCTGTCGCCCGCGACTCCGTCCGCGCGAGATTAAAAATATGTGTTGTCCGATTCTCAGAGCTACTCAATTTGCTCACAAAATTTCATGAAAATCGGTGACCACAGAAATTCTGCAAAATAGCAAAGCAACCGCTTATTTTCTTGACTGTTTACTTTTTACATATTTTGTGACATAACTAATAGCTATAGCGTGACTTACCGGGCCAGATAAGTTTGTCGTACTATAGTAGCATACATATTTTTCATAATGAAATACTCACAACACAAAACGTTAAAAACACTTATTTCCTAAATTACAATTTTTTAAGGTGTTTCCCGTTGGACTGATCGGCTTACCAATGGCTTTTTCCATTTTTGCTGTTGGACCAATTGATTATATGGATTCAATTTATTCCCATGTAGACCATTTGATTATTTTTCCCGTTGGACCGAATTCTACGGATTCGATCCGAACAGTCCAACGGGAAACACTAGTTTTTCTCAGCATCTCTTGCATTAGCCTTTGTTTTTAATGAAACTAAAATTTCCGTGTCAAATAAAAAAAAATAGAATATCCTTAAATTCCTCTATTTTTTTTTGAATTTATTATGCAAGTCGTATGTTAGAAAGAGATGCACAATATTGGTGAGAGTGAATACAAATATTATTTATCGTATTATTCAAGTCGATGGTAGATACGGGAATAATTGTGTGATACGTCCGATGGCCCTGGAAATTAAAAAAAATCAAATCTTACTTTCCTATTATTACAAATGGGAAAGTAACTATATGTACGGCTTTTACGCCAAAACTACTGAACAGATTTAAATGAAATTTGGTATACAGATAATCTAGAGCCTGGGGAATGATATAGGATACTATTTAACGCAACAAAAGGGTTGTAAGGGGTTGAAAAGGGGGTAGGAAATTTATATACAGTGTAGTAATTCTACAGTTAGAAGCTTGAAACTTTTTTTTGACTGTTAATCTTACTAATATTATAAATGCGAATATGTATAGATGGATGGATGTTTGATAGCAGGTATCTCCAGAACAGCTGAACAGATCTTGATGAAATTTGTCATACATATAGAACATAGTCTGGAAGAACACATAGACGTATTAAGTTATTTTAATTCCATAAAGATGCAGTCGCGTGCGATAGCTAGTACCTACCTGGTGCCAAGTCCTGCTGTGAACAGCATTCTTCTTCCGCGTACTAAATATTCAGGACATCGCGCGAATCTGAACAGTATTGATGCTGTTTCACCAGCACGAAGCTCGCTGTTACCCGACATTATACCCTGGAACAAGTACGTAAGGTTCAAATTAATATAAACTAATGGTCTTAACCCAAAGGTTAAACTGACAGTTAACTGTATCTGTATGAGAACAGAATAGAATATTTATTTATTGCCACAAACAACCAAAAAAAAACTGATATATAAAAACGGCTAAACACTCACGTATATACGTCCGGTGACGGCACCGACTTGTTTCGAGCCAGTCAGGGGCCCTTCATCAGGATGAGTGGTACTGGTATTATTTCGCGGACGCGGCACGTCGCTCACGTCGGTGGTCTAGTCGGTACCGCCACCGGACGTATATACGTGAGTGTTTAGCCGTTTTTATATATCAGTTTAGTATAATGTCTCACGAAAGTTTGAATAATTTAACCAAAAAAAAAACAAATTAAATTAAGGATGTGTTTAGATGGATGTGATGTGGATGGATGGATGAGGTATACTAATTAAGTTTTTTATACAGGGTGTCCCGAAAGGTTATCCATTGCCCCAGAAGGTGTAAAATTTATAAGTTTTTAAAAAAAATGCCATTAATTTTTTTTAATACCCAGAGGGGAATTTTTATTTAATTTTTCTGGTGACCCTTGTGACCACCCCTATCATCCCCCTTCCTATGTACGTAACCTTTTGGGACATGGTATATCCACGCGGACGGCAGCTAGTAGACTATATTTATAACTAGATTTTTGATTTCTTGATGGATAAAGTCGGGGATAACTGTTAGTATAAGTTATATTTACCTCAATAATAGCAGTTTGTCGTACATTGCCGACATGTACGGAGCACTGGAAGCCGGGATATATAGCGGTTGAATGTCTCAGCACGTGGACTGTTGCCTGAAATTATACATATTATTACAGTGGTAGAGTCCGCTTTAACATGTTTACACGAATTGTCCTCGCTCAGTGAAATACCACGACCATACAGAAGACACGCCTCAAGTGCGAAGTAATTCCAACTACAGTCTGATGAGTGTGCGTCCCGGACGCCTTCTTTAGTCCTCTTTCCCTTCCCACTCTTTTTCTTATATGGAGAGGATGGGAAGTGGAAGTGGACTTTCCGGATGAGAGGATGCATGGAAAGGGAAAATATTTCCTTTCTGTGCATCCTCTCCTCCATCGATTAAAGTTAGGCAACGCATATGCAATTGTGTATATCTATGGGCAACGGTCACTTCGCTATTTCAGCGATTCCAGGTGACCGCTTATTAGCCAACATATAATATAAAAAATGTACAGTTTCGATTAATCAGCATTCTATAAATAATTTACCTGAAAATACAAACAACCCCTAGGGTCGTTAGGATCCTCCAGAGGGACGACATCGCCGCACACACATTTCACATCTGTATTGTCATTTCCATCTATTTTGTCATCAACACTATCTGATCTGTAATAAAAAATAACACAATAAACTTTCAGAAATTACGAGAAGGGTTCCTAAAAAAACACAAGACAGCAGATATCGCGTAATTCGTTCGAAATTTTAAAAAATAGTAGTCTATGTGTTCTTCCAGACTATGTTCTATATGTATGACAAATTTCATCAAGATCTGTGCAGCTGTTCCGGAGATATCTTCTAACATACATCTAAACATTTGCATTTATAATATTAGTAAGAACAAACACAACTCACACCTATAACTCAGAGGGGTAGGCAGACCATTTGGCGTGGGCAAATGAACCTCATAAATCCACGTTTTGATACATACATCTAAACATTCGCATTTATAATATTAGTAAGACTAACTATCACTCGCGATTCTGTCCGTGTAGAATTAAAAAAAAACTTAAATATTAGTCTAAGTGTTCTTCCAGACTATGTACTATATGTATGACAAATTTCATCAAGATCTTTGCAGTAGTTCTGGAGATATCTTCTAACAAACATACATCAAAACTTTCACAGTATATTAAAAGTGAAATATTGTTAAATATTCAGGTTTTAAATAAAAGTTTGGATGGATGTATGTTTGTAAGAAGTTATCTCCAGAACTACTGCAAAGATCTTGATGAAATTTGTCATAGATGTAGTACATAGTCTGGAAGAACATATAGACTACTTATTAAGTGTTTTTTGTATCCACGCGGACAGAATCGCGGGCGACAGCTAGTGTAAGATATATCTATGGTATTGTTGTACCAAATTAACATAATTTCATTATCTAGTCTTACTAATATTATAAATGCGAATATTTAGATGTATGTTAGAAGATATCTCCAGAACAGCTGCATGTATATTGATGAAATTTGTCATACATGTAGAACATAGTCTGGAAGAATACGTAGACTATTTACTTTTTTTAAATACCACACGGACGGAGTCGCGGGCGTCAACTAGTCCTGTATAAATTATCATATTTTACAATCATTGTCTATGGTTAAACTTACCTATAAATATTTCCCTCTTCTATCTTGTCTTTAGGTTTGACGAGACAGTTCTCCACGTTCGCGATGTCTTGTAATAAATTTTTGTTTTTCCTTCTTACGTTTTTACGATTTTTCATCTCGTTAGATTGTGAATTACGAATCGCCTGTGGTATCTGGAAATATACGAAATATAACAATCAAATTAGGTTATTTCCCGCGATTCTGGCCGCGTGGAATTAAAAAAAAAAACTTAATAGGTCTTATGAAGTTTTTAAATATGTCACTAGTGTACGTTACGCAAGATATAATGAAAAAAAAATCTCGCTAATTCGAGAAAATGTGTAAAAAAAATGTAAAGGAAATTTTTTTTAAAATATTAATTGTAGTTATTTTTTTTTTAATATCATTAGGTGTCGAACGAGTGAGCGACTACATGAAATCACTGAAATAGCGAAGTGACCGTTGCCCATAGACATACGCAATTGCATATGAGTTGCCTACCTTTCATCGACGGAGGAGAGGATGCACAGAAAGATAATATATTCCCTTTCTAGCCATCCTCTCATCCGGAAAGTCCACTTCCACTTCCCATCCTTTCCTAATAAAGAAAAGGATTGGAAGGGAAAGAGGACTAAATTAGGTCTCCGGGATGCACACTCATCATACTGTAGTTGGAATTACTTCTCACTTGAGGCGTGTCTTCTGTATGGTCGTGGTATTTCACTGAGCGAGGACAATTCGTGCGAACATGTTAAAGCGGGCTCTACCACTGATGTGTATAAACAAATTAAAAAAAAAACAATATTATATTTTACTATTACAAATTAATTTGTGTTTTAAAAACGCCATCACAAAGCGCCAATAGCCTAATATAATGGTTAAGGAAGTAATTTATCCGACTCGAAGGATCTTATTTCTAATTTCGAGGATTTTATTTCTAATTTCCTTGTTTGACTATGTTTCGGTGCTGGAGGTTTGTTTTTTTTTTCTAGTACGTCTGGAAGGATTCTGGCTTTGAACTTCTTCAAAGATATGTGTGAAGTCAACCCGCACTTGGCCAGCGTGGTTGACTATGACCTAGTCACTAACTTAGGGTAGGCTGCGAGCCCCTCAGTGGGGATGTATAGTGAGCTGATGATGAATTCTAGTTAAAGAATGAAATACTCACCCCAGTATTACAAGTGCAAAGACCGAATGTAGGTCTGTGATGTGCCCTGTACCCCGCGGGCACGGCCAGCAGCACCATGCCTTGTCGCAGCACTGGCGGGGCGCGATCCAGTCCCAGGCTGGCGCTCTGTCCAGCGCGCACGCTGCCGCAGGGCACCCTGTTCCTGTATATACTTTTCACTGATATCTCCACAAATTCACCATTCTCTAATGGACCTGTGAAAAAAATTACACTAAAACTCAAAAATTCCAAAATATTACACAAAAACTCAAAAATTCCAATATATTACGTTAAAAACATTTTTTCTCGTATAACTTTATTTGCAAAATTCAAATAATTAAATTTATCCACCAACTAAAACCTACTAATTATTATAAAGCGGATGAGTTTGTTTAATCGCGCTAATCTCAGAAAGTACTGGTCCGATTTGAAAAATTCTTTTTTTGTTGGATAGTGCATTTATAGAGGAAGGCTTTAGGCTATATAACATTACGCTGCGACTAATAGTTTTTTTTTAAATGTATAATATATTTGTGTAAGGATTTTGTTATAAGACAATTTTATGCCACAACACCCGGAAAAGGCAGATTATAAAAAGAAATAAATAAACACATTATTCTATTTTTTTTTACTTAATATCTCTTATGGTATAAAAGATATATCGGTCTAGAAGAAAAAAGTTAACTACAAATAGTGTGATAAGGATAGAACAGTGGTAGAGTCCGCTTTAACATCTGCACTTGAATTGTCCCGGCTCACCCGGTGAAATACCACGACCACACAGAATACAGACGTCAAATGGAAGCAATTCCAACTACAGTCTGATGAATGTGCGTCCCGGAGGCCTAATTTACTCCTCTTTCCCTTCCCACCCTCTTTCTTATAAGGAAAGGATGGGAAGTGGAAGTGGACTTTCCGGATGAGAGGATGCATGGAAAGGGAAGATATTTTGTTTCTGTGCATCCTCTCCTCCGTCGATTTAAGGTAGACAACGCATATGCAATTGTGTATATCTATGGGCAACGGTCACGTCGCTATTTCAGCGATTTCAGGTGGCCGCTCGCTCGTTTGCCACCTTTTGATATAAAAAAAAAGATGTATCTACCTATAATCAGGTTGTCTCCCTCATACAGTTGTCCTCTGGCGAGCAATCCCCCAACAACAGGCCCGGTACTGTCACCCACGTGGAAAATCTCGTCGATTTGAAATTCACATGTTTCCTGAAATGTTGACAAATTAATTTAAAAAAAAAAGAAGAAATCGAAAAATGTGGGTAGACTCACATCTACACAATGAGGGTAGTTACATGAAACTGAGACTTGTCACATATAAATATATCACATGAAGATCGCAGCATATCCTATCTTACTAATATTATAAATGCGAATGTTTGTATGGATGGATGGATTTTAGCTTGAAGCTATCTCCGGAACGGCTGAACGGATTTTAATGAAATTTGGCACACATGTAGAACATAGTCTACCAATTATGTTTTTTTTTCAATTCCGCTCGGACGTAGTCCATCCATCCAGACATCTCGCGAAAGATAAAGTTATACTGACATTTTGTATAAAATAAAGGTACACTCACATCATCTTGTTGCGGCTGAACATCAGGTATCGGGGGTTGCAGCGCCAGTAGATACGCGTGCAGAGCATTCAGTCCCGCACCGCGCACACAGCTCACCGGGAACACGGCCACTTGTTCTATGCTACTGGAATGATAACATGACACCTCTATGACACTCAGAAAAATAATCAGATGACATCGCTCTATTTGACACTGAATATGGCTAATAAGCAGTCACGTGGTACTCATTTGCTATGAGTTTGTTGCAGCAAATTTAATGAGAAAAGGATGCACAAAAACTTGACATCCCCTGTCGACTATTCCTCTTCCAATTTTCTTATAAGTAAGAGGTCAAGAAAGAGAAAAGTTCTAGAATTGTTCTCTGGCATATACTAATTAGACAAAACAGGGAAATACTTTCACTTCACGCCTGTCTTACGTGGTAATATATTCCTAAATGTACTATATATATAAAATATTAATTTGTACTCACCCATCATCTTTCTTGTCATCATCATCAGAACATTTGTCAATAGAGTCAAGGATGGACTGTTGAGGTGCGACACAGTTCCGAGCCATATTCTCATCCGTTATCAACACTGGTTTCTTCTGTTAAAACAAGTTGTGTAATAGTGAGAAAATGTGTACAATTTATTTGTGTAATAGGAAGAAAATGTGTGTAATTGAGATGTATTTTAGAGAGTAAATGTGTACAATTGAACTGTATTTGAGAGATATATCAGTACCGCACCAAACAGAAAGCCGTAGGTTTCTCTGGGTTACGGTCATGAGTTAATTTGTAATTTATTGAGAAAATGCGTAAAAATGTGTAATTGATGTGAAAAATCCGAATCTTACCTTTTTAAAGGTGGTATCCCCTTCAGGAGCCAACAATTCTTCTAACCGTTGCATCAGAGGTCTAACATTAGCCGGGCAGAGTTCACATTTGCTGATTACAGCAAAGAATGGCAGTTCTAATGCGATGAGTAGTGCTATGTGCTCTTCTGTTATACGTGTGATGCCTGCGGTTGCTGATATCTGGAGATATAATATTATAATTGTGAATGTTTGGATGTATGTTAGAAGATATCTCCAGAACAGCTGCATGGATTGCGCTGAAATTTGTCATAGATGTAGAACATAGTCTGGTAGAACTAAATACTATGTTCCTATGATATAAAAATGTGTGCAGTTCCCGTGGGATAAGTTTGATTTACATATAAAATCGATAACTTTGCAATAGTTAAAATCTTCTTATTGAAATTTGGCACAAATACGAACATAATCTCGAATAACATACGAGATACTTTCACATTTTTTTTAAAATCTGCGCGGACGAAGTCGCGGGCAAAAGTTAGTAATATAAATGCGAATGTTAAAATGTATGAATGTATGTTAGAAGGTATCTCCAGAATGGTTGCATGGATCTTTATGAAATTTGGATAGATTACAGCCTGGAATAGCGCATAGGCTACTCTTTATGTCTTTTTTATTTCCCGCAAATGATGTCGCCTGCAAAAGCTATTAATTTAAAAGACTAACAGTTGATTTCTGAGACCTAAATTTATGTATAAAACATATCGTCATCCCTGTCATTATCTTTGACAAAACAGAGATAAAAATACGTTTTAAACGGGGATTTTGGTCTCAGAAAGCCACGGTAAATCATTCATAATATGCTACATATGCAAAATTATTTTATAAATTAACGCGAATTTCTATTATATTTTATAATAATTAAATTAGAAATATTTATAAATTGTAAAACTCAACATCGCCTTCTATCTTGACTACAGCGCCATCTGTTGACGTACTTACCACAATCATAGCGTAGTGCGGGGAGTACCCGCTGAGTCCGTGCAGCGTCGTCCTCTGGTACTTCGTATGACCTGCCAGGTCCAGGAATGACACCAATTTGGCACTCCTCTCTCCTATACGTTCCGCTGTCATTAACTCCGAACAACCATAATTGACCACATTACCCTGGAAAATAATTATTGTTAGGAAGAAAATCCGACAGTGCCGGTGTATTGGCGCAGTAGCCTTACTAAAATGTCAACGTTTATGTCTCCTCACTAATCTGACACTTGACTTCTAAGTCTAAAATTAAAAAAAAAAGTTAAGGACTTTAGATTCTAGAGTAAATCTCGGTTTAGATGTACGTTAGAAGATGTCTTCAGAACTGTATGGATCTCACTGAAATTTGTCATACATATAGAACATAGTCTAGAAGAACACATAGACTACTTAACATTTTTTTTAAATACCGCTTAGTAATTTTGTCATCGGATGGTCCTTCGAGTCGGATTTACTGACCTGAGCATCAAATCCTAGTATTTCATGGCTGAGTGATGAAGTACGGCCGCTTTTAACTTCGTGCAGATGTCGGAACATGTTCAGACGCGCGCTGCCACGACCGTTGTCTAATTCACCTGTAATATATATTGCTAAAGATAAATAAACATCATCATCATTATCATCATCATCATCATCATCAGCTCACTATACGTCTCCACCGAGGGGCTCGGAGCCTAACCTGAGTTAAGGGTGATTAGGCCATAGTCAACCACGATGACCAAGTGCACAAAATACACTTATCTTACTAATATTATAAATGCGAATATATGCATACTAGCTGTCGTCCGCGACTCCGTCTGTGCGGTATTAAAAAACTTAATTAGTAGTGTATGTGTTCTTCCAGACTATGTTCTATATGTATGACAAATTTCATCAAGATCCATGCAGTTCTGGAGATATCTTCTAACATACATCCATCGAATCCAGTGGTTCCCAAACTTATTTTGTCTACTGTCCACTTTGAGAATATTATATTTTTAGCGCCCCCATATTTTCACATATTTAAAAACCACTAGAACTTCAAATTAAATTAATTAATTATTGTTGTTATTGTTAATAATCGAGAGCTCAAGAAGTCGTTGTCTAAGAGGCCTCCTAACTAAATAAAATTACAAATCACCCCCCAGGCCTCTACACCATGCCCCCATTTTCTTTCTGGGTCTCTTACCCTTGAGACCTGCAGCGCCCACAAGGGGGCGTTATCGCCCACTTTAGGAAAGACTGATTTAAACATTCGCATTTATAATATTAGTTACAGTAAGATGTTAGAACGGCTCAGTGGATCTCGTTGAAATCTTACTAATATTATAAATGCGAATGTCCAGATATTTGTTTGAAGGTATCTCTAAATCGGCTGCATGAATCTCGCTACCATTTGGCATACAACACATAGGCTACTTATTAAACTTTTTTTTTAATTCCGCGCGGACAGAGTCACTAGCGACAACTAGTTTGTCATACATATAGAACATAGTCTGGAAGAACACATAGACTACCAATTAAGTGTTTTTTTTTAATTACGGACGGACGACTTGTGAAATGTAATTATATTTATGTTTAGGACAATGAAGGGCTTTAAAGGCTAGTACTAACCTTGAGTTAGTACCCCAATTAATGTAGATTTGCCGGCCTCGTTGGCACCCAATACTGCGATCCTCAGCTCCACACTCTGCTGTGTGTCTGCCAACTTGAATAGACCACATTGTGAGAAAGAGACGACAAAATATAGTTCCGTCTTTGTTAAACATCGTGTTTAAAGCTAAGATAAAGTTAAAATAGTTAAAAACATTTGTAGACAATATTTAAGTTTATTTAACTGTAATTAGGCATTTGCAGTTAAGGCCTGATTCGCAAAAAAACCTCTACAATCTTCTGAGCATCTGCGGCGAAGTCTTAAGTTTAATAAGCCTCTAGCACACGCAGTCAAGGGCACATTGAAAGCCTTAAATAATTTTGATAACATTAATAGCCTAATGGTTAAAAATACGGATTTCCTATCACGTATTCCAGAGTTCGAATCCAGGCATTCGACTTTCGTAAACTATAACACAAGCCTAGTTATTTGGAATGGAATAAATATATATTACTGTTATAAAAAAACATGAAAAAAGATATTTTAAACCTGAATATCCACTTACTTTTCGTATATAAACCTCGGCGACAGCTCTATGTGGTGCGAGGCGACGTGCGCGTGCTGCGACAGGCGCAGCCCCCAGTGCGGCCGCCATACGACGCAGCGCGCGCAGGCTGGCGCGCAGCGCACGCGCACGTAACCCCCTCAGTGCACCACAGTCACGTACCCCCACCACATACACCGCGCTACCTCCCCCTGATCGTAGCCGCCATTTTAACTGACAACCACAAGTTTTGTTAATCTGACTGGCGATTGTATCAGCGCGGGGAAAAATAGCCTATAAGGGAACGTATCCATACTACGTGTCCCGTTTAGGGGGGGGGGGGGGTCCTTAAAATACTACGGTCAGTCAAAGGAGCGAGGGGGGGCTCAGATTTTAGTCACGTAGTCTTTGCTTGTTATTTTTCGTAATACATAATTCACTAGTAATTTAAGTATGCATACAGTCTTATGCTATAAAGAAGAGTATGAGCCAAATTATTTCTTTTTCAATTTTTGCCTGTGAAATGATTAAAAATCATAATTATGAATTACTACGTAAATCTAAAGGGGGGGGGGGGGNNNGTTGGCATGTACTACGAGAGGCCACCGAGGGGAGGGAGGGGTCGAAAAAACTAAAATAGGTCACGTAGTATGGGTATGTTCCTTGACACACTTTAAAAGGGAATTCTGGTCTCAGAAACCTACGATATCATTTTTTTTTTACAAACTTTACTTTTATGATAAAAAATCACGCTAACTGCAACATACCTGTGTAACCAAATGTTGAAATCTTCTCTCACAAGGCTCAACTAACTGCAGCTTATATTCAACATTACCAAATCTTGGCTCCGGAGGCAAACTGCCGTAACACTCCTCACCAGAATCCTCAGAGTCGGATGTACTAGACAAAAAAGACATAAATTAAAAAAAACACGACCCTCCAGCACCGAAACATAGTCAAATAGGGAAACAAGAAATAAAATCCTCGGGTCTAAGATCCTTCGAGTCGGATAAATTCCTGAATACAATAATCTATCATCATCAGCTTTAAGTCCCCACTGAAGGTCTCAGAGTGTACCCTAAGTGAGAGTATGTGATAGTGAATGCTGGTCCAGTGCAAGACTTCACACATTTGATTTTCTCAGATATGTGCAGCATCACGATGTTTTCCTTCACCATAACAACATACGATAAATGTACATATGTAACACATTGATACATGACGGGATTCGAACATAGGAACTGCAAACAAGTCAAGTGCTGAAACCCCAGAGCCACCGAAACTCTCGATTATCTATATCTTACTAATACTATAAATGCGAATGTTTGAATGGATGTTTGTTAGAAGATTTGTCTAGAACATAGTCTGGAAGAACAAATAGACTTCAAGTTTCTTTTAATACCGTGCGGACAAAGTCGCGGGCGACAGCTATTACGATACTTACGTATCATCATCGAAGTAATCTTCCATATCGTCAGAACTGTAGAAAAAATCATTTTCCAAATCTTCATCATTGAAATCTCCAGCCAGATACATCTCCTCTTTCAGACCAACTTTCTCCAATTTATCTATCACATTGTGATAAACCGCTCTGTCTAAGTACCCACTTTTATCTTTATCTAGAAAACCATCTTTATCAAAACCTTTCCTTCTATTCTTTTTATAATCTTCTTTGCCTAGATCATTAACATTTTTGCCTATATTTTCATCACACAGCTTAGGTACCGGTGATTGGTTGTTCCAATTCTTAGGGTCTTCTGTTTCTTCTGCGTCTACCCACGATGGAACTATATCTTTCGTTGGAGACATTTTGTTCTTTTTCCTTCTGTATTTTCTACCTGAATTACGACGTTTCGGTTTATCCAATTTCGTATCTAAAAATATACAAACAATCTTATTAATATTATGCGAATGTTTGGATGTATGTTTGTTTGAAGATATCTCCAGAACGGCTTGATGGATCTAACTGAAATTTAGCATACATATAGAACATAGTCTGAAAGAACACATAGACTACTAATAATTTTTTTTCTTAATTTGTAGACAAAGTCGCGGGCGACAATCAAACTTTATCATTAACGAATAAATAAACGCCTAAAACACTGAAGTATGTTTGTCCGGTCTCGGCACCGACTAGATCCAGCGTACGACGGGCCGCGTCCGCGAAATAATACCAATCCCACACACCCTGATGAAGGGTACGCGATTGGAAAACTAGTCGGTGCCGACACCGGAAGAGCATACTTGAGTCTTTTTATCTATATATATATATAAAAGAAAGTGGTGTTAGTTACACTATTTATAACTCAAGAACGGGTTTACCAATATGTCTGAAAATTGGTGAGGAGGTAGCTTAGAGCCAGGAGACGGACATAGGATACTATTTATTCATTTTTTTATATTAGTTTTTAGGGTTCCGTACCTCATAGGAAAAAAACGGAACCCTTATAGGATCACTTTTTTTTATTTCATTTAATAATTAAAGACAAAAAGTATGTTTGCATTTAAAAGCTTAATTATTAAAGAAGGTTATAATCTATTTAACATCACGCTACGACATTCAGGAGCTGAGTAGAAACAAAATTAATCATTTATATTCTAAAGATTATTTGGTTTAATACAGTTTATTAATCCATCTATCTGTGTGTTAAAAATAACTCACCATCATCTTTCTTGACTTCCATATAGTTTTCAATATAGCTACAATCTTTGACTAGAAGCTCAGTACTAAGATCCGGTTCGCAGAGGAAAGACGATTCCTCTGGCTGGGTCTCTTGTTTAGCGTGTGATCTCCTACCTTTCCTTCTACCTGAAAGATATTAAAAAAACAAATTAAAAAACTCTAGAAGACTTACTGCCTAGTATTATGGATAGATTGATGACTATTGCGTTGAATTGAACTATGACGTCACAGTATGGACTGTGACGTCATTGTTCAATTGTTTAGTGAACTAAACAACTCTGGGTCTAAAGTTGAATTTTATATGAGTTATTTATTTTAAGGAGTTTTTATATGAGTATAACAGTGGTAGAGCCCGCTTTAACATCTTCGTACGAATTGGCCCGGCTCGTGCAGTGAAATACCACGACCACACAGAAGACAGGCGTCAAGTGGAAGCAATTCCAACTGCAGTCTGATGAGTGTGCGTCCCGGAGGCCTAATTTAGTCCTCTTTCCGGAAGGATGGAAGTGGACTTACCGGATGAGAGGATGCATGGAAAGGGAAGATATTTCCTTTCTTTGCATCCTCTCCTCCGTGGATTAAAGGTAGGCAACGCATATGCAATTGCGTATGTCTACGAGCAACGGTCACATCACTATTTCAGCGATTCCAGGTGGCCGCTCGCTCGTTTGCCACCTTTTGATATAAAAAGAAAATATTAACCTTTTGGTGCATCTGGATTCTTTTTTGTATCCGCATCTGATTTCTGTCGCTTCTTATGAGATTGCTTCGCCTGCCCACCCTCTGACGGGTCAAACAGACTGAAGAAAGAGTCCATGGTTATCTGCAATATAGAACAGATATTTGATTGAATAAAAAGCGTAAGAAAGGAGTGAATTCAGACATAACTGACATATACATCCAAAGCACTTGACTTGTCTAAAGGTCGTGGGTTCGAATCCCGCTATGTCACAATGCGTTACATTTACATATGTACATTTATCCTATGTTATGGGAAGGGAAACATCGTGATGCTTCACATGTGAAAGTCAACACGCACTGGTCCAGCATTCACTATAACATAGTCTCACTAAGGATAGACTCCGAGACCGAGAGGGACGTTTTTTTTTGTTAACGCGGGGAATGTGTTTATGCACTTCGCCGTCCGTGCTGCAGCAGGATCGGTTTCTTGTGGGACTCCTTGTCTGGGAACAAGACCGGACTACCCACTAAACCTCGCGGTTTTCTACGCCCAACCGGACCATGGCTTCTAACGAGAACGACGTATAGTGAGCTGATTATGGTATCATTATTAATTATAATAAAAGTACCAATCAAAAACATTCGTAACCAGAAACAGTTATTTTCATAAAATTTTGTTTCTTTTATTAAACGGGTGAATAACCTAGCCAGTATTTTTATTACATTATCAAATATGCGTAGGTGATGTTTACGAATCTAATATCACGAAAATAAACCAAACATACTGACAAGTTTCACGACGCACAGAGTCCAAATTTTAAGAGGGTTTTAAGCTAAAGCCTATTTACATTTTTTTTTATTAAATGACATCTACAGACTCTTAGGCAGTATTATTTTTTTTTGCACAAATTCCTTATGCCAAATGACAGTAGTAAGTTCCTTTTTACTTTTTTAATTTACGCGAGCAACAGCTGGTGTTTTATAAAAAACACAATATGGAAGAATAAAGTCGCATGACATTTCGTTATTCAAAAGCAATCAAGCAATTTAAAATATAGCGAATTAAGTTTCGCATGCATTTAGTCATCCAAATCCATTACAATAATTATGACGTCATTTATTATCGCGCGTGTATGATAAATAAATTCATGCTTGCGACGTACAAGGGTAGGCAAGGTTAAGTATTTCTGAACGAAAACGTATCAAAGCGGTTATATTGAATCACATATCATCAATTCTTTGTTATTAAAGCTTATAATAAACAACTGGTATTTATAAATTTCTACACATTTCTGGTACGACCTTGGCAACATATCAAAGTGTACATAACACAACGCTGTCAGATTCGGCGGGAATTTTTTGGCGCGAGCGCCGCGATGTTTAAAAAAAACAAATATGCAAATGGTTGTGTATGAATTCTGCCAAAATTCTAAAATTAGTTTTTTTTTTTAAACTTTGAAATTATTATTCGTACTTTTAGAGTCATTAATCGAGATTAAAAAAAATATATTATAATACATAAATTATTTTTTAGATAAAGTTAATTTGGGCTTAGGGTAATAAATACACAAAACAAAATGATTAGATTTTCCTATACAATGATGCAATATTATAACAACTTTATGACATCATCATCATAATCAGCCTAAACTGATCCACAGCTAGATGTAAGCTTCCCCCATATTGATGGGGGAAGCCTTGGCAATTGTGCCACAATATGTCCACTTTATGACACACAAACTACTTATTTATTAGATTATAAAACACTAATTTTTATGTCAAAAGAGTGTCATGATATAAAACATTAGATTGCTATTGAGTTAAAGCCACAATTAAAATTTCATTTCCAATTTTTATGTGGTTTAAAAACAATTAAAAACACACTTTAATAAAGCAACAATAAGGTTACATAGAAAGTAAAAGACATAAAACTATACTGATAAAAGAAATTAACAAAAAAAAAACTTGTTTTAACCCTTAATTCAATGGTGTTGTGCGACAAACAACTAAAAAAAAATATACTGAACTAATTTAAAGAGATAACATGAGTATGACTTTACTAAAAAAAAAACAGTTTTTTTGCTACATCAAATTCCGTTGAATTAAGGGTTAAGACAAGCACTTTAATTTTTTATTCAATGTTAAAACTAAATTAAAAAAACACAATGACTATGACCTTACATTAATTCAGTTTTTATTAGCAATAACAATTATTTAGTACATATTCTGTTTTAAAACTGTAATTTACAGTTCGCTTTGGATTACATAAACATTTTAGGAATTATTAAAAGACTTGAAAGTAGCAAAGTGACTAACCAAAAATCTTTGCAATAAGTTAAAAGGTTACAATTGTATGTTAACTTTAATGGACAGTGGATGGCATGGTCGGAAATGGGATATTTCACCTACCATGATAAATCCACTTTCACTTCCCAACTATAAGATATGTGTGTGAAGAGGAATAGGACTAGAATTAGGCTTTTGACGCACAATCATGGTTGTGGAATAGAACTTGTTATATTGCTACACTATACCAATTTTTTTTTCAATAATGGAAAACCCTATTTATTCTATTTGGATGTAATTTTCGAAAATAATTGTCAAAAATGAAATGTTTCTTTGTTTTAATATCAGATATCTCTCGTAAACAAAAGTCCTTATTTTATCAACAAATATAACTAAATTAATATTTATCATACAAACACTATCAATTTCAATAAAGATATCGATTTAACAAAAAGGCGGGTTTTTCGGAAAAGGACTTGCGTAAACCGAAGAAATTAAAAAAAAACATTTCCTTTTTTAAAATCCATATTAAATTATAGATTAAAAATGTTTTATTTATAGAACTAAAGCACTTACCTGGTCCTAACAGCTGTTTCCTTAGGTTCAAGGTCACATTGAAACACAACTCACTATTGCCAATACAGTATTCAAAGTGATTGTGAGTCAACAAAAGTACGATACAAACAGAATACGGCCAAAATAATTACAACTGTGACGCAAAGATTACGAAAATATTGCAACTGTACAAACAATGAAACAGTAGCAGTGACTAGCGGTTACGCAGTATTATCACATAAGAATCTAGCTAGTAATTAAAATCTTCACTTATTAATTATTAAAATGGTATAATATTATACATAATGTTTGCAACATGTTACGCAAAGTTGAATCACAAATACATTTTGTATTTCCCGAATTCTGACGAAATGTTTTGACAGTTGTAATGGTTCCGAAAAATCAATTTGATGTATTTGTTACTTACCCAATCACAAACACAAATTTTCATTTTAGGATTTTAGAATTCAAAAGTAATTTTGTCTGCCTTCACTGATTACATTTTGTTTTTATTTTTCCCTAAAATAAACTTACAAAATGAAAACTGTAATAGTTTCAGAACGAAATGACAGAACCCTTGTCAATATTTTTTCGTTGACGTTTGACAATTTGCCAATTTTGTACGAATTCGAATATTTCGAATGTTTTGCTTATAATTTTAAATAACATAGAATTTTAAAGAGTTTGCATATCAAGCAACCCATGAAATTCTAATTTAAAAAAAAGATCTAAACGTTGTGAAGAAGTATTAACTAAATAACTTTGTAAAGCGGCCATTAGCAAAGAAAATCGATACCCGATATAAAAGTTTAAATTCGGGTATTTGAAGGTAAATTTAAAACTAATAAGATTAAATAGGGATTGCATAATGGACAACAGACGTTCAACTTCTACATAGAAAGAGAGAGAGAGAGAGAAAGTAAAAAACGTACCGTATTAAAGAAGTACCTTCATTTTAATTTACAGGTTTATGAAAATGACATCACAAGTATATTTTTTAAATTAGAAACAATGAAGACAACAAAACAGAATAAAATAAACAACATTCAATATGAATTTAAATGTAATATATGTACAAAGGTAAGATATTTATAATTGATATATTAATTTAGTAGCCTGCGGTTCTGTCCATGCGGAATTAAAAAAAAAACAGTAGCCTTTGTGTTTTTCCTGATAAGTGCATTATCTCTCCATATATCATATACTCTTGTGCCAAATTATAATTTCTCTTATTCCCCACAAATAATTTTTAGCCAAAGTTACAAATATTATCAGAAACTTAATTAAAAACCGGACCGCGCTATAAAAATTTATTATTACATACATTACTGAATGGATGGATACATGTTTGAAGGTATCTCCATAACAGCTGCATGAATCTCACTGAAATTTGACATACATATAGAACACAGGCTGCTAATTAAGTTTTTTTTTATTCCGCGCAGACAGTCACATGTGACATCTAGTTAATATTTTGACTTATTTTTCAGAGATTCTTCAATAAAACATTATTACAGCAACATAAAAAGATACATAACATGACATACAGCTGCAAACTGTGTTCGTATTCTGGTAAGACTGTGAAATACCTCAGCCGTCATACCAAGAAAGTCCACACGGAGCCGACCATATCGTGTAATGTTTGCGATAAAAAGTTTCACTTTCAATGTAATTTGAAACAACATCTATTAGTGCATACAGGTGAGATATATTAAATAGTTATATCCTATAATCAGTCTATTAGGAATTAAAAAAAAAAACTAAATTTGTAGTCTATGTGTTCTTCCAGAATATATTGATCTGTATATGACATCTATGACAAATTACAGTGAGATCCATGCAGCTGGTTTTTTTTTATATGATAAGGTGGCAAACGAGCGAGCCACCGCCTATAATCGCTGAAACAGCTAAGCGATCATATGCGTTGCCTACCTTTAATCTGCGGAGGAGAGGATGCACAGAAAGAAAATATTTTCCCTTTCCATGCATCCTCTCATCTGGAAAGTCCACTTCCACTTCCCATCCTTATAAGAAAAAGGGTGGGAAAAGAAAGAGGACTAAATTAGGCCTCCAGGACAAAAGCTGTTTTGGAGATATTAAAATTTTTTGGAATGATATTTGGTGGCAGTTGTTGCTATAAGTCTACTTAGTAATTTGCATAGTGTTGTTTGGTATATTAAGTTCCATTATGACAGCATGTAGCGTAAATAACTCAGCCGATTTAGAGATAAGTTTAAATTTTTCTAAGTCAGTCTTTCCCAAAGTGGGCGATAACGCCCCCTTGTGAGCGCTGCTTGTCTCAAGTTGCAGGTTATAGTAAAAGATTCCTTTAGAATTCTCCGTTAATATACATATATAGGTCACAATAATTAATTAATTTAATTTGAAGTTATAGTGGTTTTTATATATGTGAAAATATGGGGGCGCTGAAAAAATATTTATTCTCAAAGTGGGCAGTAGACAAAATAAGTTTGGGAACCACTGTTCTTAGTGTTACTAAATCTATGGAGAAACAATCCGTAGGGTTTTTTTTTTTTTATAAATAAGTATCATTATGACAGTATCCGTAGCTCACTGCTTAAAGCACTTGACTTGTCTGCGGGTCCTAGGTTCGAATCTCGGCATGTATCAATGTGTTTTACATATGTACATTTATCGTATGTTATGGTGAAGGAAAACATTGTGATGCTGCACATATCTGAGAGTTAAAGATATGTATGAAGTCTTGCACTGGACCAGCATTCACTATCACATAGTCTCACTTAGGGTAGACTCTGACCTCAGTGGGGATGTATAGTAAGCTGATGATTATTTTTTTATTTTTCAGGTGCAAAACCTCATAAGTGCAAAGTATGTGGAAAAGGTTTTAACAGTTCATATTCACTTAGCACACATCAGCTTATACATGAAAGTAAGTTTATATTTTTATAAATAACTAGCTGTCGCTCGCGATTCCGTCCGTGCGGAGCTAAAAAAAAATATAATTAGTAGCCTATGTGTTCTTCCAGACTATGTTCTATATGTTTGACAAATGTAATCAAAATCCGTTCAGCTGTTCCAGAAGATATCTTCTAACCAACATACATCTAAACATTCGCATTTATAATATTAGTATGTTGTTACGGTGAAGGAAAACATCGTGATGCTGCACATATCTGGGAAAGTCAAAGATATGTGTAAAGTCAACCCGCACTTGGCCAGCGTGGTTGACTATGGCCTAATCACCCTTAACTTAGGGTAGGCTCCGAGCCCCTCGGTGGGGTCGTATAGTGAGCTGATGATGATGATGTAATATATCTAATGTTCCCCAGACACATGCCATCTCTCACTCTATAAAAAACAGAAATAATATGTCTGAATCAAATATCTCTTAATTCTTAACTTAAGATGAAATAAAACAAAAGATACACTTTATAAATTCTGTCTACCCACAATGTCAATACCAAGCTTCTAGAATATTCTTCAATCAATGAACAATGATTCTTGTCAAGTAAATATCGTTAGACGACTCCGTGATACAATCAGCAGGTTTAACACATTGACCGGAACTTTCCACGAATCTATAATAAAAAAATGGGATCCCACCTATAGCATTCGTTGCGTTATATTCGACTCATTCACGTACCGACGCGTGCTACCGGTCCAATGGTCTAACATCGACTTACTGACGCTCGAGGCGAACAACACTACATTTAAGCATAGACTACAGTTAATTTGTAAAAAAGAAGATTTTTTTCACTCACCCTGGTCTACAAAAACATCCAGGCACAGACACAGATAAACAGTGTCTAGGTTTAAGAACAATTATCGAGTCTCTATTTTCATGTTTATCGTGATGTGCCATCGCGTTACGTAAATAACGTAGTAATTTGTCAACGTCGAATATGTTATCTCGTAGGTCTACGTTTTTTCCGAATACCCTCTCTAGCACTAACTGGAAGTGTGGTTATTAGTCAATAATCTTAAAAGCACAGTAAATATCGAATAGTTTCACATTGGGCTATAACTAGACAAGCATCTATATAAAGTGACAATATTTATATATATATACCAACTATCTGTTGTCCGCGACTCCGTCCGCCTATGTATTCTAATAGACTATGTTCTACATCTGTGCCAAACCTCAGAGATTCGTTAAATCATTACGAAGATACCTTCTAACATCCATTTAAACTTTCGCATTTATAATATTAGATATGCGCAATTACTAAAGCACGTATTTCGTCTGAAAATGAATTGCGTAAAAATAACCTTTAAAAGTAGATCTACTTTTATCTTCTTATATGGTAGTTCAGAGAATCTCAAACTGGGATTCTCTCCCGGAGTGGTAGCATATCCACAAAACCCCTCTGTTCTCCAATCATTACAAATTTGCGACCGCAACGCCCTGATCGGCCCGAGAAAAGGCCCGTAGGCGATCCCAGAGACGACTGCTATACTGCTTCTATTCTACTTGGGAACCCACAACATTATTTCCCGCCAAGACCCTCAGGGGGTCCTGAACCAGTTTGGGGATCATTGCTTTAAATAAAGGGTTATATATGTAAGACATACCTCAACCATGTCCTCTGTAAATTCAAAAGAAACCTTTGAAAATCTATTCATAGTCCTTGTTAAAGTTCGTAAAAAATCTTCGCCATAGCCTTTCCTCCTGTGTTCTCTATTGCATTTTCTTATTATTTTTTTAATTAAAATATATGGCTGTTTACTTTTAAACCAATCGCACGTTCTATTTTCGAAAACTTGTTTTATAGCAAATTCAAAATTATCAACATGGAATTTTTCTTTTTTATTTTGTATCTGTTCGAAATATGTCAAAGAGTTAACAGCTGATTGATAACCGCCATCTTGTTTTGCCGCCTTTTCATATTCGTTCGGAAATTCAACGATATTATTGTCTATTGATATATCTTTGTTTGGAATTTTTTCTTTATTTTTATTAATATTTAAATTCTTCATGTACTCATAGCGAAGGTATTTATCAATATTTTTTTCTTTCCATTTTTTATTAGATGAGTTTTCTTTATTATTCTCATTATCTGTACGTTCTTCGCTTGCGTCTACATCATTTTTTATTGAATTCATAAAACTGTCATTCATTTTAAGTCGCTCCTTTCTGTCATCGTCTAAAACTTTTTTATAATCTATGACTTTAAGCCTGTAAAAAGTGTCAGATGCGTTTAATAAACAGGACAATATAAACAGAAAAAGGACATTTACTAAATCCTCCTTCCTGTCAAAACCATTACAATCTTTTATTACAAAAGATTTGCAAGGCAAAGACTAGACAAAAATTGATCTACCAAACAGACTCAACAGATAAATGGTAGAATTACTTTCTCTCCACGCCTTTCTTGTATGGTCATGGTATTCCACTGATCGAGCCAGACGACCACTGTCAAACAATCTTGACTAACAAACTCCTTTAGTTTATTATTATAGAAATATAGATTAAAATTTTTATAGCATTTGTATAAATTAAAAAAAATACTTCTCAATAGCGTTGATTATATTCTGACACATCACTGGACAGGAATAACCCAAAGGTATCCAAGGAGACGCGTGAGCGTCTTGACAGTAAACTCTTCCTTCTGCCAAAATTACAAATGTATACGTCTCTTTCACACTGCATACAAATTGTATCTTCCTTCTCACTCTTGTAACGAAATTTAAATCTGACACACACGTTATTATAAAGGTACGTGTCCATTGGCCTACACGCACGGATTAAGTGACGGAGTGCTATGTAAAATCATACAAAGCAAACTAAAATCCGTTGTGTGCGGTACGTCCGAGCCAATGGAAACGTACCTTTAGTCTTCCAAACTAATTCCTTATAGTTTTCACGTATTTTAAAACGTATAAAATATCTTTTAATATCTTCAGCCTTTATTTTTTTTACTTACCTATACGTAATACGTTCGTAAAAAGTAACCAACCAACTTTGAATAAATACATCGTAAAACAATCTTAAATCACGTAATGACTCAATAAAAAACAATACACTACTAGCTTTAACCCGCGACTTCCGCGCGGAATTAAAAATTACATATAAATATGTCCTAATTTACTCAGTGATAATATACCATTTTAATTGTGAAAGAATTTTTCAAATCAGTTTAGTAGTTTTTGAGTTTATTAGTTGCATACAAAAATATAAATATTTCTTTTTAATAATTTTCAAGTGGAATTAAAAAAAACTAGTAATAAATATATTCTATGTCATTCAGTGATAATGAACCTTTCTAATTGTGATAGAATTTTTGATATCAGTTTAGTAGTTTTTGAGTTTATTTGTTACATACAAACATACCAATCTTTCCTCTATCTAATATTATTATTGAAAACGTTAATAGACGTAGAATAACTAGGAAATACCTTTGACATCGTTTGTTAAATATAATATGTAAAATCTGTAAAAGAATATGTTTCAGTCCGTCTGTTTATAATACTATATTTTTTATTAGAAAAATTTAATTCCATGAATCTTAGTTACTAATATTAAAAAATGCGAATGTTTAGATGTATGTTTATTTGAAGGTATCTCCAGAATTTGACATAGATTTAGGACATAGTCTGAAAGAAAACATAGTTTTTTTTATCTCGCGCGAACGAAGTCGCGGGCGACAACTAGTCAGAAAATTAAAAAAAATGTTATAACGTATATATAAGAGAGAAAACCTGATAACTTACTAGTTAAGCTAATAATTAAATTAACCATGGCAAATTAGAATCGTAAAACTCGTTTAAATTACATACAAAACGTAAATTATAAAGTGACTAGCAGTCGCCTGCGACTCCGCCCGCGTCTAATCATACTTTTAAGTAATATTATAACACTATGGATAGATGTTTTAAGTACGCATCTACTATTATGTTTTTTTTTTAATTCCGCACGGACGGAATCGCGGGCGACATTTAGTTAAAAAAAATTAAGTATCCTACCTATTCTTCCAGACTATGTTCTATGACAAATATCATCAAGATCTGTTTAGCTGTTCTGGAGATATCTTCTAACATACATCTAAACATTCGCATTTATAATATTAGTAAGAAGTAAGATGTAGTACAAGATTAGTTGACGCCCGCGTCACCGTTCGCGCAATTTTGTAGAAACAATAGGTAATCTGTGTTCAAAACTGATATAAAAACAGCAAAACACTGACGTATGTTCGTCCGGTGTCGGCACCGACTAGTTTCGAGCCCATCGGGGGCCCTTCATCAGGATTAGTGGTACTGGTATTATCGCGCGCGCGACGGGCCGCGTCCGGGGATTTACGAATTTTTTAAGGCTCGAAACTAGTAGGTGCCGCCACCGGACGAATATACGTGAGTGTTTAACCGTTTTTATATCAGTTTAGTATAATGTCTCACGAAAGTTAACTTTTGTTCTAGATCTCAAGCCATATCTTTGTACTGTATGTGATTATGCATGCCGTGACAGCTCCACACTTAGGAAACACAAAGATAGACATCTTGGTATAGTGAAGAGATACCAATGTGAACTTTGTCCAAGACTGTAAGTAGAAATCAAAGGCTTAAATCAGTCTTTCCCAAAGGCGATAACGCGAAATCGGTAAAGCCATTCTTGAGTTATAAATAGTGTAACTAACACCACTTTCTTTTTTACATATAAGATATCGTCATCCCTATCGTTTATTTTATCTCTTTTAATGGTCAAAAGTCATAGAGTTACGCGTATTTCAGTAAAAAGTTACATACTATTTTAGAAGTGTCACCGTTTCTTCTTTGAAATATATCTATCTCTTTTACTCATAGCGTCAATAATTTCTCTCTTTCAGTTTTAATGCGAATATATATTTAAAAATGCACATGGATGAGAAACATTTTGGTATAAATGTACACAAAATATCGTGCAAATTTTGTGATAAAATGTTCAAAAGTAATTCAACATTAAATATGCATATTGTAAGTATATTAAGACTTACTTCTAATTAAAAAAAAAAAAACTAATAAATAGTCTATGTTTTCTTCCAGACTATGTTCTACATCTATGACAAATTTCATCAAGATCTATACAGCCGTTCTGGAGATATCTTCTAACAAACATTTAAACATTCGCATTTATAATATTATTACGATGTATCATCATCATCAGCTCACTATACGTCCCCACTGAGGGGCTCGGAGCCTACCCTAAGTTAGGGGTGATTAGGCCATAGTCAACCACGCTGGCCAAGTGCGGGTAGACTTCACACATATCTTTAACTTTCTCAGATATGTGCAGCATCACGATGTTTTCCTTCACAGTAAGAACGTCGGATAAATGTACAAATATGTAAATCAGAAATCGAAAAACACATTGGTACATGACGGGATTCGAACCCAGGACCTGCAGAATGCAAGTCAAGTGTTTAACCACTGAGCCACCGACGCTCTCAGAAGACGCTCTTAATGAAGTTATATATTTATTAGAGAACAATCCACGGACGTCAGTATGAATGTGAATGTGCTATATGTGGTACAATATGTAAAGACAAAGGTAATCTACGAGCACATATGATGTGCCATGTTGATATAAGGCCATATAAATGTACATACAAAAGTTGCGGAAAGAAATTCAAATGCATGGTGAGTAGGTTTAAACGAATCCAGTACAGTAATCCAGTAGCGGAACATCGTTATTTGAATACGACTGGATTAATGTAAATAATACAATTTGTGTTTTATTCTTTTTTTGCTGAAATGTTCTTATACAGGCTGATTTAAATAATCCTATATTTTTTTAGTTTATAAGTTTTTTATTTTTTTTACTGAAATAATTTTGTTCTTATACAGAATGATTTAAAAAATCCTATATATTTTTTAGTTTTAAAGTTTTTTTTTTACTGAAATAATATACAGGATGATTTAAAAAATCATATATATATTTTTAATTTAAAAGCTTTTTTAGTCTTTCTTAATCATATAATGTATGTTCTTATACAGAGTGATTTAAAGAAACATATTATAATACATTATCCAGAACAACAACATAAATGTTTTTGCGGACGTCGTTTCGCGCGCAAACATCGTTATGACGTACATATAAAACAACATAAACACAAAGAGAAGACAATTCAATGCGATATGTGTGGAGAATGGTAAGTTTGAATGGAATTTAACAGTGGTAGAGCCCGCTTTAACATGTTCGCTTGAATTGCCCTCGCTCAGTGAAATACCACGACCACACAGAAGACATGCGTCAAGTGTGAAGCAATTCCAACTACAGTCTGATGAGTGTGGGTCCCGGAGGCCTAATTTAGTCCTCTTTCCCTTCCCATCCTTTTTCTTATAAAGAAAGGATGGGAAGTGGAAGTAGACTTTCCGGATGAGAGGATGCATGGAAGGGGAAAATATTATCTTTCTGTGCATCCTCCCCTCCGTCGATGAAAGTTAGGCAACGCATATGCAATTGCGTATGTGTATGGGCAACGGTCACTTTGCTATTTCAGCGATTTCAGGTGGTTGGCTCGCTCGTTTACCATCTTATGATATGTAAAAAATATATCTTTAATGATATACAATAGTTTATATTATTTCTAGTATAGGTCTTTTCATATAGATATATGCCTTGAGCCAACCATCTGGTTATGTGCGAGATCCCGCTATGCTCTCATAAGTCGTAAGAAGTAAAGAGCTACCAACATATCTGAATAGGACTATACAATTATTAACTAAAGGAATTTAAAATTAAAGATGAATTTATTTGATTTTTTAACCTTTTTATAACCGGTCCATTATAACCTTTGTAACCGTTGGTTTATGGAAACAAAACCTCGATATAAAATATATATCCCTGTCTTTTATTTGACAAAACAGAGATAACAATATGTTTTAAATTTTATAACCGTATTATAACCTGTTTATAACCGTAGGTTTAATAATAAATCGCAAATTAAGTTACACATAGCTAAGATACACATAGATCGATACATTTGCGATGTTTGTGGATATCAAACTAACAACAAGACTAGTATTGTTGTACATATTAAGGAAGGACATAATGTAAGCATATATATTTAATATAGTAAATGTTTGTACATCTTGTTTCAATCCGCCATTACAATTCTTTTGCGAGAATTTTGGATTGATCTGAAGTGATAGTGATCACCCTTAACTTAGTGTAGGCTCCGAGCCCCTCGGTGGGGACGTATAGTGAGCTGATGATGATGATGAAGTGAGTGTAATTTTGTTATGTGAGAAAAAAGATTTCAACCGAATTATGTTTTTTTAATTTATAAGAGCGTCGATAGCTCAGGGGTTAGGCAGTAGACTTGTCTGCAGGTACTGGGTTCTAATCCCTGCATGTACCAATGTTACATTTACATATGTATATTTATTTTATGTTATGGTGAAGGAAAACATCGTGATGCTGCACATATCTGAGAAAGTCAAATGTGTGAAGTCTTGCACTGGACCAGCATTCACTAACACATACTCTCACTTAGGGTACACTCTGAGACCCGAGAGTGGGGATGTATAGTGAGCTGATGATGATTTTTTTTAATTTACCAATTACATTTATTTCGACTTTGGATTGAAACAAGTTGTACCCCCAATCACAATTTAATGATGATTTTAAACTTTATCATTAAAATAATTTATAATTAAATTCAACAGCAATCTTGCAATATTTGTGGAGAAACTTTTGAAAGACATCTTAAATTACATTATTTGAAGTGTCATTCTATCAAATACAAGAAACCGCGATTGTAAGTTTTATTTAATTAATGATTATAATATGAAATACTAAGTGTAACCCGCGGCTCCGTCTGTGCGAAATTAAATAATACTTAATTAGTAGTCTATGTGTTCTTCCAGACTATGTTCTATATGTATGACAAATTTCAGAGAGATCCATGCAGTAGTTCTGGAGATATCTTCTAACAAACATCAATCCATCTAAACATTCGCATTATAATTTTGTAAGATGTAAAAAATACTTAATATTTTTTTTATGAAATATAGAAAACACAAGGAGGTTCTCGAAGAAACTGATTTCAAAAAGGAGATTGAGAATATGGAGTTATTTGAAGTAGAGAAACAGGAGATTTTATCCGGTAAGTAATGAAAATATTTGACTTATTTTAATAAACAACATTTGATTTTTTAAATCAATAAATCTAAATATTTAGTCGAATTAAAAATGTCAAAATTTAAAATCACAAAGAAATGATAAATTTAATGATAAACCTAACATTTCTAGATATTGAACATGAAGAAACAAACATAAGAGAAAATCACAGAATAGGTGAAACAATAAATTATAAAATTAATCTTGAGAAAGAATTGAATAGGCCTGTTAATAAAGCAACTATAATAAACAAGAACGTAGACCTGATTGAAAAAAGTAAGTCTCCTGTCCTAATAACTCCTGAAATATTAGAAAAAAACAGACTATGACACTCTTTGTAAGAATACGAATCGAATGACACCTCACTTGTCTAAATCTGTACAATCGTTTACGATACAGGATGTTACAAAGAAATTGAAATACATACAAACAAATACACAAATTACCCTCTTGTGAGTCGGGTAATATGTCTCTTGGTTTTTCAAGTAGAATGAAAGAGATGGCAAAACTTCGTTTATTAACACTAGCGCATGCGACATCCGCTTGTAATTAAAAAAAAAACTTAATCACTAGGCTAGCTGTTCTTCCAGACTATGTTCTACATCTATACCAAATTTCAACGAGATCTGTTGAGCCGTTCTCCTTCTTCTTCTTCTAATGCCTCTCCATTACTGGAGGTTGGCCGTCAGCTCAGCGAACCCATTCCTGTCCTGTGCCAAGCGAAAAAGTTGTTTAATGTTGGCAATATTGGTTCATTCCTATTTCCATTCCATTGCCGTTTTCCTTACCTTCAAACAAATAACCATACATCCATCCAAACATTCGCATTTATATTAGTAACATTAACTTTATAATATTCTACATAATTCCTTGAATACAACTACATCAAAATTATTAAATATTTTTTATTTAATTTACAGTAAAAAGAATCAACGTAACAGTAAAAATAGATAAAAAAGCAAAAGAAAATGCAGAAAAACATATACAGAAATTATTAGATAAATCTACGAGACAGAAAGAGATGAAAGAATTGGAGGAAACGAGACAGATGTACAATGAGAGGATAAGACAGGCAATTAATAGTAAGCCAAGAAAAGGTATGTTTTATTAACAAAAATGCATTATTTAACTATAGCAAAAATTAATGATTGTTTAAACAGCTTTTTTTTATTTCATAAGTAATAAAAATCTTTATTCCAATGAAAAAACAATATGAAATTGAAAAAAAACCTTTTGTTATTTAAAAAAAAATAAAAGAATTTATTAGTGTCTTTAAGTTTGTTTGATTTTAAAAAATGTTGGTTTTTATAATATCAAAAGGTGGCAAACGAGCGAGCGGTCACCTGAAATCACTGAAATAGCGAAGTGACCGTTGCCCATAGAAATACGCAATTGCTTATACGTTGCCTAACTTTAATCGACGGAGGAGAGGATGCACAGAAAGAAAATATCTTCCCTTTCCTTGCATCCTCTCATCCGGAAAGTCCACTTCCACTTCCCATCCTTTCCTAATAAAGAAAAGGATGGGAAGGGAAAGAGGACTAAATTAGGTCTCCGTGACACACACTCATCAGACTGTAGTTGGAATTAGTTTCACTTGAGGCGTGTCTTCTGTGTGGTCGTGATATTTCACTGAGCGAGGACAATTCCTGCGAACATGTTAAAGCGGACTCTACCACTGTTCTGTCTGGTTTCTGCTTACCCAAAATTTATTCACAAGATTTAATATGTAATTTATTAATTTTATTTAAAAATGCTTTTTCTTACAGGACCTGTAATTAAATTCATTAAAATCAATAATAACGCTAATGAAAATAATGAATCACAAAATAATGATATTCAATCACAATTCAATGATGCAAAAATTAATGATAATGAAATTGTCAGAAGGAATAATAAACTGAAAATCAACACACACCAGTGTTATGTTTGTTTTAAAGTAAGTATATTTTAACTACAAAAAAATCTATATCTCATATATAATATTCTCGTGTGACAATTTTCGTTCTCATACTCCTCCGAAACGGGTTGACCGATTCTCATGAAATTTTGTGAGCATATTGAATAGCTCTGAGAATCAGACAACATATATTTTTAATCCAGCGCGGACGGAGTCGCGGGCGACAGCTAGTATATCAATATAAATTGGAGCGTCTTTATTATCGAAAAGAAAATTCGTACATGTATTTGGGTCGCTGATAACGAATTTTTTTATAATTTTTGTCTGTCTGTCTGCAAGTTTGCGTATGTTCCGTATAATCTCGGGAACGTGTGGACAGATTTTGACGGGACTTTAACTGGAAGGTAGCTCATGTAAACGGGCATAGGTTACGTTTTTTAGGGTTCCGTACCTCATAGGAAAAAACGGAACCCTTATTCAATTTTATGCTGACTTAGTCGTGCCAAACGATATGTAAAAAATCTCTGTACAAAAAATCTGTTTTTTTTTGTTACCTACATGTTTAATATTGGACAGGTTATGATGATTTAAGAGGTTTTTATAGGATGACAAAGGTTTTTTTAAAAAAAATAATGAAAAAAAAATCATTATATTTTTTAAAATTGTGAAGTTTTTTTTTAATTTTTGAACATTTGAAGATGTTTTAACTTTAGTATTGCAAAAAAACTACACCTTTTTTTGTATTTCTTTCAGTTATTCGAAACTAAACCAAAACTAATAGAACATTGCATAGAACATTTTGATGTTTGTTGCGATGTGATGCTAAAAAAATGCCCTCTTTGTGATTACGTGACAAAATTAAATCTATCTAGACATATGAAATTAATACATAAAATTAATATACAACTACCCTACACAAGATTTAAAGATAAAAAACATAATAATAACGGTTCTAGATATTATTACGATATAAATAATAAAAATATCGATAAAATTGAAATAATACCGAGTGTTAAGAATTTAAATAAAATCGAAAGTATGAAAATTGATAAAAAAAGAAAAATAAAAAAATCTTTTAGTATAGATAAAAAAAAGTTAATTAAAAAAGGCAATGAATGGATCGTAGGAGATGAAGAAATAAAAATAAAAAACGATTATTTAATAACAAATTTTAATATAGAAGATTTATTAAAAATCAAAGTGATAGGGGATGATTATTTGTCAAAATTAAAAAAATTAAGTCACATAGCAAAGAATAAGGGTGAAAAAATGTTATTTCCTTGTGAGAATTGCGAAAAAATATGTCAAACTTTAAGCGCGTTAAAATTACATACACGTAAACATAATCCGAATGCGAAACCGTTCAAGAAAAAGTTATGGAAAAATAAAATTAATGGAAAAGAAATTGAAAAAAACACTAACAGATATGAAAAACCTAAACCTATTTTAAATAAACATAAATGCGATAAAGATTTAAAAGATTTTTACGAAAATAATATTAAAGGTGGTGACATCGAATTTTGGCAATTTTTAAAAATATATAATAAAATATCCAAAGAAAACATCACAGAATTCTCTGAATTGTAT